GGCACTGGCCTGATAGCAGCACCTGCCCTGTGCTTCCACCCGTGCCTGCACTCATTTGCCTTTACACGCGCCGGGACAAGCCCGCAACACCATCCCGTCCTCAGATCAGTGGCGGCGCAAACCAACCAAACCAGCCTTGCCTTCCCTTTCCCAACAAGAAGCTGAACCTGAAGCTATCGACTTTCTTTCAAGTTGCTCGTTTGGAAACCGCCGTGGGCTTCTTCACTTGACGGGGCCAGACAATTTAGACCCAAAGACCAACGCGCCCGACGGTGACCTGCAGCTACCCCTCCGCCCCGTGCCAGACTCCAGCACCTTCGGTTCAAGGTGGGGCAGAGGTGCCATCCGTCTCCCACCTTCAGCGACTCTTCTTCATTCACTCTTCTGACCGCCACCAGAAAAAAAAACAGAATATCTTTCGACTCATTGCTGGCCGGTAACAACTGCTGAAGGACATCTCACGAAGCCACGCACGAAGCCAAACTCTTTTCAGCGATCTTAACAGTCAAGCGCACACCTTCGCCATGGACGAGGATATCTCCAACTTCGTCGCCATCACGGCAGCTAGCCCGGAGGCCGCTCGCGGCTTCCTGGAGATGACCAACAACAATCTGGAGCAGGCTATTCAGCTTTTCTTCGAGAACCCCGACATTCAGAGTAGTTTCAACCAGCCGTCCGCCACCTCCTCGACAGCGCCGCCAGTGCCCTCGAGCACCCGACCGAATGTTGGACGGCAGGACGAGCGCGGGGTCATTCACATAGATAGTGATGACGATGGCGATACGGCCATGACGGTGGACGATATGGACGATAACTTTGGACACGACGACTCCGAGATTGCGGCAAACGAACAGGTGGCGGCCATTGCCCGAAGCGCCCAAGAGGAAGAGGATGCCGCCATGGCCAAGAGATTACAAGAGGAACTTTACGGCGGTGGGCCTGGAGGTGGTGGTGGCGGCGCTGGAATTGGCGGCGGTCAGGATGATGTCAGATCACCCATCGCCAGAACCACCGAGACGCTGGTTGGAGGCTACGACGGTGACGATGGTATGGACATGGACACCATCATCCGGGCACAAATGAGACAGAGAGAAGCCGCCAGGGCAGCTCGAGGTGCGTATTGGGCAATGTCTACGTCTTTGGGTTTGCCATGCTAATATTTTGGGCACCAGCTGGTGGTGGAAACCCCTTTGCTCATAACCTGTCCATCTGGGACGATGACAGCCCAGCTGCCGCCCAGCCCGCCCAACCTGCTGCAACGGAAGGCGGCACGCGAGCCCAGAGACTGGCAGAGCTGTTCCGGCCGCCCTACGACATTATGTCCAGACTAGAGTGGGACGAGGCGAGACAGGAGGGCAAGGACGAGAAGAAGTGGATTCTGGTCAACCTCCAGGATATGAGCGACTTTAACTGCCAAGCCTTGAATCGGGATATTTGGAAAGATGCGGCTATCAGGAGGCTATTGGATGATGCCTTCATCTTCCTGCAGTATGACAAGGACGCCATGGCGGCACAGCAGTACATCAACTTTTACTTCCACGGCACCGGCCACGAGAACCCAGACAACTACCCGCATGTCGCTATCATCGATCCGAGAACAGGAGAGCAGGTCAAGGTTTGGAGTGGAAGACCGTTCCCCAGCGCATCTGACTTCCACGCGCAGCTGGCCGAATTCCTGGACCGCTATAGCTTGGCGGCGAACAGCAAGAACCCCGTAGTGGATCAAGCAGCGCCCCGCCCCAAGACCGTCGATGTCGACCGAATGACGGAGGATGAGATGCTGGAGATGGCATTGCAAAACAGCCTTGCAGCGTCCAACGGCGGTAGCAGCAGCAGCTCCAAGCCTAGGACGAGCGTATTCGATCCTGATGCGCTGACCAAGTCGGACTCATCCAGTGGCCGAGGCCAGGGCATTTCTCCAGTCGAGGAGGCGGCAGGCGGCATTACTCCCCCTGCTGAGCCGGCAGCGGCGCAGAGCGCCTGGGCCCGGATTGCGGGTGACAGGCCGCACACGGAGCCAGAGAACAACCCGGCAACGACGACAAGGATACAATTCCGACACCCTACTGGACGTGTTATCCGTCGATTCAACCTGGAGGACCCGGTCAGACGCATCTATGAGTGGCTCAAGGCCGAGCCCCTCGAGGGCAAGGAAGGGATTGAGGTTGAATTGAAGCGTATGCCGCAGGGCCAGGACTTGAGTGACGGGTTGGACACAACTATCATGGAGGCTGGGCTCAAGAACGGCACCGTCATGATTGAGTTCATTGAGGACTAGAGCTGGCCTTGGTTCGACTCAGCGACTGATGATTCGGGCGGGAAACGTCGGATACGGGCAAGGTGCATTTATTCAGCAGGGCCAGGGCCAGGGCATGGCCGATAGAACCGGAACTGGACAGGCGGAAGGAAGCCTTCTTTTAACATTGTTCGTTTGGGTTCTTCTCATACATAGTACGATATCCGGCGAGGGCAGGCAGGCAGGCATGGAAGGACGTAGTTTATCGAGGACCACGGGTAGCCTAACAGAGTCAAACAGCGGGCCAGAAGATTCGGACGGCCATCCACCGTAAGTAGACGCTTGTTAACACAGAGACGGCATCAATAGACAGGGAAATGAAAGCAATGCTGGTCGCGTTGTGATACGATTTGAATCATTGAGACGCGCATACAGTGAATGACTTGACGCGCATGTGTCCCTAACGCGTGTAAAGGAACAGAGTATCAACGTCCAACGATCCGATGCCAATCGTCTTCAGCCTCTGCTGTCGTATTCAGTGTAGATGTATTAGTGGAAATCCACACCCAGGGCTGAACGGAATCGACGGCAGGGTCAACCAGAAGAAGAAGCCAAAGGAACAAAGATGGGTCAAAGGTGCTCCGTAGATGTCTTGGGCTGAGAAATGTGGGTGTTTCACTAGGCTAGAGCATGAACTATCTATCTTTGGGAAGTGTGCTTGGCTCACCTGGGCATCGGTGGTGGCGCCGGTTGGAGGGGAACCAATCAGAGGGGGATGACGGACGGGTTCCTGGACGGGACGTGTCACTGCATGCGAGATGGATGGAGGGGTGATTGGATGTGGTGGGTTGCTCGCGTCTGTTAGGTCTGGTGCTAAGGTAGTACCTATATTGATGTTGGTGTTGTTGAAGCTGAGATGGCGAGATGGTGAAATGAGAAGTGGGAGATGGATGTGTGGTTGGCAGCGTTTGGGTCGATTCTGTGAGGTGCAGTGCCAATTGATAAGCAGGATGTGATCTGTGCACGCTCGCTTACGTTGGCGATAATGCATTGCGCAGATACCTTGCGGCATTCCATTGTTTTGACTGCTAGAGGTCGCTGACGTTTTTACTGGACAGGGCCACCCCGAGGACCATACCGATGGCAGGGGGGATGGATACTTGAGGTGGGATGAGGGGAACCTGGGAACCCAATTGACATCAACAGCAGTGGTTGCTGGTGAACCGACCCCTCGGTTACCCTTTCAGATCATGGCATAAACAACGGGCGATGGGAGGTCCAATAGACACCTCCTGATTTTGTTTCCGCCTTACTTTGGCCATTCCAACCTGCTTTACGAATACCTTGGATTCAATACTTCCTAACGCTGGAACGTCGCATTTCCGTTTACATCTATTTGGGGAGTCGATCTTACCAAAACAGACCAAATCTCAAGGTGCCTACCTACCTACCTACCTACCTACCTACACAGGTACCTACGAAAGTCCAAGCCCCGGACTAGCACCAACACCAAGACCACACCCCAAACATTGACAACATCCCAAGACAACATTCAAGAAAGCGACGACGACGCAAAGACAGCCACGCCACCGCCCTCTTCTTTGTGGCCTCTTTCAACCGTCCAGAGGTCTGACTGCTTGGTCTCGGTCTGGCTTGGTGCCGTCTCTTGCTACCCCACACTCTGCCTCGTGTGCCCAAACATCAAATTCCCATCCGTCGTTCCCTTGGGACCAAAGCACAGGTACCAACCGCAACCCCACGACGCTTTCTTTTTTGCGCGGCTCTTCCTTGCCATACCGTGAGATCACCCATCTCTATCCGTACTCTGTAGGTCTCTTGAATATCCCCTGCTGTTTGTTGTGCCTACCTATGGACTGTCATCTAGTACCGTGGCCCGGGGCACTGACGTGTTTCCTTCCCTCTCCCTTTGCTTTGGCTCTACCAAATCCACCGACTCGCGAAGAACGCGAATTACAGCGGCCCGCTACAGTGTCTCACCACCACCTCTGGAACTTTTTTTTCCTCATCCTCACCTACCTCACCTACCTACCGTAGTGGTTTTCCCCTCTCCTTGTTTACCTCGTCATTCTGTCTCTGCATCTTGAAGAAAAAGGAGAGACGAGACATTCGACACGCGACAAGAGCCCACGTACGATTGACGCCGCCCCCTTGGGAACTAATCACCGTTAGGCTCCGGCCGACTTTGTCTCTAGCACATTTTTTGCTAACCGCTCGCCTTGAACCAGATCGCTTTCTTTCTCTCCTTAGTTTGGGCCTTCAAAACCAGCCTTCTCGGGGGCCACTTGTGACCACCTAGCCCGGCCTCAATCGCTTCTACCTCAGCTCGACGACAAGCCGTATCCGTCGTCCCCCACCGCCTCTGTCCCTCTCCAGGTCGCTCGCCCTCAACTCCAGGATCCCTTCTTCAACCAGCTGCCCGCTGCTCGCTGCCCGCTGCCCGAGCACCAAGGGAAAAAGAGACTTTCCAGTCCGAGAACTCAATTTCCCGCCAACCGAACATTTCTCTGCCTGACGACAAGAGGCATCGGACCAGAGACGAACCACCACCGCGCCGACGCCGAACTACCGCTAATCCCACTGCGCTGACGAACTTTCGGACCCCTTGCAACCCCGCGATCCTCTCCTTTGCGACGGACGACAGCTCTCGACGGATCAGCCTTCTGTTGTTGCGCGGCGTCAATTGAACGACGGCTCCTCTCTGCTGGGAACACACCACCATCCTTCGCAGCGCTAGACCGCAATCATGGGCGATCGCGATAGGGATATCGAGGAGGGCAACGAGGCGCTTGATCCCGAGCTGCTCTACACCAAGGAGTACTGCATCGGTATGCGCGCTGCTTCCGTGCTTGGTGCGGCATGTTGCTAATACACTGGATTTGTCTAGGTGGAGGAAGCTTTGGCAAGGTCTACAAGGGGTAAGTACCGCCGAGTTCCCCTCCCCTCTCCAGCGAGAAGCACCAGAGGACTGACCATAACTCGTACAAACAGAGTCGACAAGCGCACCGGTCACGCCGTAGCCATCAAGATTATTGATATCGAGAGTGCCGAGGACGAAGTCGAAGACATTATCCAGGAAATCGCCATCCTGTCCGAACTGCAGTCCCCCTATGTTACGAAATACTACGGCTCGTATGCCAAGGGGGCGGAACTATGGATTGTCATGGAGTTTTGTTCTGGCGGAAGCTGCGCAGACCTCATGAAGCCAGGTCTGATTGGCGAAGACTACATTGCCATCGTTATTCGCGAGCTGCTACTCGGTCTCGATTACTTGCACACGGATAAGAAGCTGCACCGCGATGTCAAAGGTACGTGGATCACTCTGCAATGCGCACCATTTGCTATTTTCCTAGAGCTGACATACGGATTCAGCTGCCAATGTACTACTCAGCTCCAACGGGCAGGTTAAACTCGCAGATTTTGGCGTTTCGGGGCAGCTCTCGGCTACCATGACGAAGAAGAATACTTTTGTCGGCACACCTTTCTGGATGGCCCCGGAGGTCATCAAGCAGTCAGGGTACGATCATAAAGCTGACGTCTGGTCGCTTGGTATCACGGCGCTGGAGCTTGCCAACGGCGAGCCACCGTATGCTGATATCCACCCCATGAAGGTGTTATTTCTAATCCCCAAGAACCCCCCACCACGGCTGGAAGGAAACTTTACAAAAGCATTCAAAGATTTCATCGAGGTGTGTTTGCAGAGGGACCCCAAGGACCGACCTACGGCCAAGGACCTGCTCAAGCATCCGTTTATACGCCGCGCAAAGAAGACGAGCTACCTGACCGAGCTTATCGAGCGCCACAGCCGGTGGGCTGCGACGCACAAGGGCGACGATGACGAGAGTGACCAAGGGGGTGAAGAATACTACGAGCGCCGGCAGGTCGACGAGGACATGTGGGATTTCGGCACAGTGAGGCTTGTAGGAGATCGTGGCGGCGTCGTTCCTCGTCCCGGACTTGGTGCTCTGGACGAGTCTGCCACCAACGCCAGAGCTGCGAGATCTACGGAAAGCATAGATGATTACGGAGAGCGTTCGAGAGACAGCAGTCCGACCAAGATTCGCGACTTTGGCCGAGACCTCGCCATCGCCTCTGATACCCTCAAGGCCGCCAGTGCCAACACGGGGACCTCTCGACAGGCATCGCCGCAAAGGAAACCAGTGCCGTCAGTTGCGCCTGCGCTCCAGTCGCCGGCCAAGGTGCCTCTTCCAATGTCACCTGAGAAGTTGCAAAGAGGAGGAGGAGGGGGTCCAGAGACACCGCGACCCGTCTCTCGATTGATTCCTCCTGCCGTCCCGGTCAGTCAATCTCCGGACTACGACCGAGAATTGCAGGTTCAGTTGCAGAAGGACATGGGCTTGATGAGTCTAGGCCCTGTGATTCAGCCAGCCGACTTGCAACAACTCGATGATGCTACACCCCCGCGACCCCCTCTCCATGGGCCTCGACCAAACAAGTTTGCACCGATTACTCTTCCAGAAATCCCACCATACCGCGGCAGCCCGCAGGCGCAACAAACGCCGGTCAGGATACCGAGCCAATCTCCGAATGGGCAACATCGTCAACCGTCTGGCCAGGCGGCGCCGCTTCCACCACCAAAGGCATACGCGCTGCCCTCAAAGACGCAGACACCTACTCCTGAACCCGCGGCTCCTTCATCCTTTCCCTCGCCAGCGCCGTCTAACCCCAACGGGGAGTTGGACGCCTTGAACGATGTCATTTTCCCTGCACTAGAGGAGGCGCTAAAGAGGAGACAAATTAGGCTGCAACAGGCATTCCGACCTCAACAGGGTTCGTCTAGCCTCGTGGCCATGAACCAGGTGACCCCAAAGCAACAACGAGCGGAGGCGGCTCACGAGAAGCTGCGAAAGCTCGTATATAAGCTCGCTCATGTGTGTAAAGAGATTGACCACTATGACAAGGCGGAGCCCGTGGGTATGGGCAGGGACGTCGGCACCTTCCTGGAGGGGCTGTTAGAGGAAATTCTCGTCAGGGTTGAACCCCTCGACGAGGAGGATGTTGCGGCGTGAACCGTCTGATGGTCCAGGCGGCTGTGTGTGAGGCGGAACGACAGACAGGGGTAATGCTTGGTGGGGCACCCGACGAGCACATGCTCGGATGCCCGCGAGTCGTCGCCGGCTGACCGGCGAGGTGGCATGGAAGATGGGAACGAGCTGCCCCGTTGATGACACGACAATACACGGGGTTCTGGAGGATATCTATCGCCCCAATGCGAAAACGAAGAGGCTTATTACGTACGATGCAAAGGGCCAAAGGAAGGAAAATCGGGGTTGATGGAATGCTGGAAACGACAAAGATGACAAGACGACGGATATGACATGACGGATAGGACACATACACATACACATACACACACTTGGCCCGTTCCCCTTCTCGTATTTTGACTCGGAACTGGGAAGTAAACACCGGGTGGCGGATCCAGGGTTTGAGGAATACAGGATGGGATGGGCAGGGAAGGGGACGCAGGAGTGGTTCACAAGACGCCTTTTTCCTTTCTGTTTTTCCCTTTTCTACAGTTCCTCATGTATTATACCCAGCATTTACCAAGAATAGAGTGCGTGCTCTTTCTCTGAGACTACCGGGCCACCACACCCCCGGAGAAACCGATGCAAGGCTGAAGAGGGAGGCTTTGGTGCACTAAGCCGTTTGGGGAGGAAGAGAGAGGAATGGCATCTTGTGTGGTTAGTGATCATGGATGCTAGGGAGAAGCGGACCCTTGAGTCGAGGGTGGGGAGGGGGTTATTCCTTTTCTGCCCAGTGGCAGTGGCTGTTCCCGTGTCTGGCTGGGTATGTCATGTATGGGTCTATCCATATGGGAATCGTTAGATGTTGCCGAAAGTCAATACTCTACTGTAAGCGAGCGAGACTTGGCTTTGCCGCTGCAGAGACAAGGCAAGGCCTTGGGAGAAAGTCTCGCTCTTTCTTGGGGCCTGCCCCGGCTCTCCTGAACATTCGTGGAGCGTTCGGCTGGGGGAGGGGGAGGGGAAAGGAAAGACCGGTGGATCGACCGTGGAGTTTATATGGTATACGGACGCCAAGGCGCCGTATGTGTGTGGTGGTGTTGAACCATGACTCTATCTACGACGGACCCATGTCCGGCGCGGCTGAAGAGGATGGACGGGCCTGGAGAAAGGGTTGGCAGGCCGTACGAATCGATCGAATGGGGACAAAAAAGTGCGTGAGGGGGGAACGAGGAATATGAGTCTTTTGAGGTTTCCGATGGCGGGATTCTGGGTGTGATGTTTGACGTTGTCTGTGTGTCTTTAAAGGCCCGTGGAATCCTTGTTGGAGGGATGAATCCGGACCAAGGCAGCACGAAGTTTACAACAGGATCCATCGAGGTATGATCTTTCTGTACTCCGTACGGATGGATATCCGTAGCTTATGGAAGAAAAGCAGGTTCCTGCAGCCAGCTTCGGCCGGCCTTGTGTTGGCAACCTTGGAGGGACTCTCGAGTCTTGAGTCTTGAGTTTCTTGGAGAGAAGGTCGCAGCGGCAGATAACCTGAAACCAGACGCGCGCGTGGGGCGGATGCTGCGGTGCTGGGCAGCCAGGAGACCCTGCGGCGAGTCATGGACCCTGAACAAAATGCCACAATCACAGATACACTCACTGATGCGAGAGAGCGAAGAAGGTGGGAAAGCTGCTGAAGGAGCTGGAACGGCATTGACGATGGCTGGCCTTGCTGGGCAGAAACTAGGCCATGGACCTGGGTTGTTAGTACCCACAGATGGCGCTACGGCGTTACCCGTTGCTGACACCATGATCCCTACACTCTTTTCCCTTTTCTTTCAAGTCTGACTGGTTCTGTTCCCAAGATGTACGGACAGACACAGGCAGACCATGTTCTTCCGGGTCTTCTTCAGGCCAAGTCTGGGAGGGCCTCTTCTTGGGACGAGTCAATCGAGTCAATCGTCTGCCCCTCCACCCCGGTCTCTCCCTCAAAGTTGGGACGCTGGGCGCTGCAGGACAAGCAGTACGGCTTGGCTCTTGGAGGATGGGATCCACCATCTCTTGTATGTGTTCTGTATGGTCTTGTCTGGGTGCGGCTGCGGCTGCGGCTGGGCTGGCTTACTTACACATTATATAGTATCCGTGAAGAGTTGTTAAGTGGCATGGTAGCATGACCCCCCCGGGTCGGCGTGCTGCCGGCGAGATGTTCGTGGAGAACGGGACCTTTCTCCCCCCCCCCCTACTTCCCTCCTCCTGGGCAGCCTTTCTTCACGAGACCGATCCAAGAGGCGAACTCTGGATATGGGGCAGATGTGGTGGAGAGAGAGGGGAAGCACGGATCCAGACTGCCGTGGAGAGGAGTTTGGGATATGTGACTTCTCTTAAGGTCTGGCAGCGCCGCCCTTTTCTCGTTCGTTTGGAAGGAAGGTTTTCGGACTTTCTTTGCAACTTCTTCTCGCTCCTTTTTTGTTTGCTTCCTGCTTCCTGCTTTTCTCCTCCCTCCTTTGAAGATGAGAACGTGTTGATTACGTTTTCTCTCCCTCTCCACCTCTACGAAACCCGAGCAGAAAGAACCAAACCCCCTTCCACTCATTTTTAGCTTGTTCTTCTTCTTGTTCAGCTACTACGCCTTCTCGTGGAGGTAATCTTAATCCTACGGGGGAGGATCAAGGAGCCTTCTACTTCTCTTTGCCCTTCTCTGCTACTGGTCTGGTCCGTCTGGTCTTTCTGTCTTCTCGAAGTTGGTTCCTGTTTCGAAATCCCTTGGAAGAGAAAGAGCGAAGGTTGTCGCCTTACCTCAAACACGTTGGCACACCACTACCCATAGCCCAGCTATTACCTGGCAGAACATCTTATTACTCCTCCTCTCACATCGCCCACCCCACCCCTCTTCTACACATACCACCACCTCCATCTCATAATCACTCCCTCTACCTATTCTTCTCGCCGTCGGGCTTTCTCTTCCCTTTCCGACCTCCTTTCCCCGAACAAACATTCCAGCCTTTTGGGGGCCGGAGCCTCAGACTCGTCGTTCCTTTCGTCATCGAGCATCCCCGCCTTGTACGATCGATACCTTTGCGGCTCTTTTGAACTACTGTTTACGACTGCTTGGCAACAATAGAGGCTGGTTCTCTCGACTACACATCTTCTTGTCTTCGGCATCGATCTTGGTCGGGTTACCCTCTTCGGAATTCGTATTCGCTGGGCCAAGTGTATTTGGGAAAAACAGAATCCCCTGGCCTAGTCAACTCTCCCGGCCTCTCTTACCGGGCTCAGATTCATTTAAACGACATCAAACATGAAGACGACGACGACAAAGGTGGTGCTGCTCACGCTGCTCAGCAGCAGCGGCTTCGTAACATGCGCCCGGGCCGCGGCGAACCTGTGCTTCTTCCCCGGCGGCGTGCAGAGTCTGGACGTCCCGTGCGATCCCAAGGCCGAGGTCAGCATGTGCTGCGGGAGCGTGAATGCGTGTTTGAGCAACGGGTTGTGCAAGCTCGAGGATACGTCGAATAACACGGGTATTGCGTATGCGAGAGGGACGTGTTCGGATCCGACGTGGCAGAGTCCAATTTGCCCGCAGCATTGCGTGTTGAGTAAGTCTTTGACGAATCCTTTCCGAGGACACAGGAGAATAGTTGGTCATGGAAGATCACGGACCGAGACTGGCGAACCTGAGATGGAGGGGTGTTTGGATTCAGGAAGGAACAGGAGTACTAACATGAGGACAACAGACCCCGACACAAGAAAGAACAACACGGCATACGACTTCAGATTCAACGGTGTCCAGGTATGGCAATGCGACAGCCAAGGCTTCGGCGTACCGGGCAAGTTCTGCTGCGAATCCGCCGCCGAGAAGACGAGATGCTGTTCCACGCCGCCCGCCATCTTCGGGCCCCTCATCGCCGCAACACCCGGCAATGCCGTCGCCGTGCAGACCCTTAACACGGGCGCCAAATCCACGCCCACGCCCTCAGGGTCGGGACGCGCCGGCGTCACGGGCGGAAGCAATTACCCCTCGCAGCAGACGCCTGAGATGACGGCCGTGCCGACGATGACGAGCAAGATCCCCGCCACGCCTGGCGGCGCGGAGGCCAGTCAGCCGACGGCGGATACGAATACCGGAAGCAGTGGAGATGGCGGGCAGAAGGGTATCGGGAACGTGGCTGTCGTGGGACTGGGTGTCGGCGCGAGTGTGGGTGGTGCGCTGCTCGTGGCGGTGGGCGTGATGTGGTACCTACGCAAGGAGAGGTCTCGCCAGGGACCCGTGGAGCTTGATGGGTCGAGTATCAATGGTGGGTACGGCGGCAGCAGCGGGGCGAGCGATCTTTCGAGGTCGAATACCGGACATACCGGGCGGATCGCGTATGGGGGGATGAATATTCACAATATGAACCAAAACGGGGGCACAGGGACGATTAGCTCCATGGGGACGGGAACGTATAACATGTCGGCGACGCCTGGGATGATGACCGTGAGGAAGGCGAGTAGTGAGTGGGATGGGAGTCCCGGCGGGTTGGGCGGGAATTATCAGATGGCGGAAATTGATGGCAAGGAAGCGATTGTGGTGGCGGAGCCGCAGGGGAGGAAGAAGAGTTTGTATGAGCTGCCGTAGCCCGGTGGTCTCTGGAGATGGCGACGATGTTGAAGATGGAGGTTTGGCACGAGGCAAACCATACTAAGATGGCATTTGTATAAAAAAAGATGAATAGGGACGGGATGGTGTATGGTGGTGTGTGATACCTTGACACTTTTTGATAGCGGGGTGGGTTCTTTTCTTACTCCCCCTTTTCTTTCAAGTTTATGGCTCATGAGAAACCAACTTTTATGAACTTTAGACGCCATTCCTTCTTGAATGTCTTCAGCCTTTGTGACAAACAGGTGACAATTTGAACTATCTACTCAGTCAAGACTTGATCTGACGTGACTTAAGCTTATCCCTCATCTATCTGTGATCTACAAGTCTGGCGGTAGGGTCGAGAAAACAAGAGCTCGGACGGGGAACAACGATGCTAGCGTGGGAAACAACGATGATGGGCACTAGGGCCTATTGGTTGACAGCAACCATCACGACACCTTCACCATCATGAAGCAGTACGAGATCAGCAGATACATAGAAGACGCCAACGAGGTATGGTGGTATGGAGAGGAAGGGAAGGGTGCTACCAGCACTCCGGAACCTGTCACGGTCGGAAGCGCATCCGAACGGATCAGCGACCACCCAAAAGGCATTGTGTTTTGTCGTGAAAGGCCCGCCAGAGACTGGAAGGGGGGAAGAGAGGAAAGAACGTGGTTTACCGGCCTTCTCGATTCGGCCACCAACACGTGCAGCGCCCTACGGCCTTGCTGGTGGGTGGTACTGTAAGTGGATGTCGACCCCCAAGGAGTGCAGGGGCACACTTGAGGGCTGAGGGGCTTGAGGGGATCGGGGACGTCTCCAGCCGTTGCTTCATGGTAGGGTAATGATCGGCAGGGGAGCGCTCTGCGGCTCTCTCGTTGTGCTTCGATGTGACGTTGGAGGGGGAAGAGCCGAAGAGGGAAGGATACAGTGCGGCGGGCCTTGGATCCCACGCGTAGTGTTGGTTAGGGTTTCTGCAAGGTCAGAGAATCGTTCAATCGTCTTTCCTTCGTCTTCATTGCCTTGGCCGCCACTCCGCGAGTTTGACGCGGGGAAGGCAAGGAAGGACTGCCTTGGTCTTGTCTTCTTACCAGACCCGGATACGTCGATCATTCGCCATCTTCCATGCTGGGAGCGGGTAAATGATCGAGAGGAAGTGCGGAGCAGCGAAAAGAGGGAGCATACAAGATTTTGATGTCATAGCAGTGGCGCGCATTATAGATCAGAGGCCTTGTTGCTCGTACAAGACAGAGTCTAGGATGGTATCCTGAAGGGTGTTTGTCGTGTGTGAGTGGGCGGAATAGACGCAGGGACCTCGATGAGACTCGAGAGAGTGATCGAGGAGGGGATTTCGTTGCCGACGGCCCTGTCTGCGCTATGTGAGGGACCGGCCATGGATACAGGGGGTTAGAGGGCATAGAGTTTGCCGCGACGTCTCATGAGGTATGATTGTCGATGGCATAAGAGCGATGGAGTCGGATTTGTACGGCACATTTGTTGCCTTTCTGATTGGTGTGTCTGTTGCAGGCTCAGTGTACACATTTTGATTTGGTGATGTTGGAATAATTGTATCTGGCCGGCTTATCGACCATGTTGATCTACTTTAAATCAGCAGCTTCACTGGGCTTGGAGGTCCAAAGAAAAGCCGTTGGAAGTTTGACTTGGCGCGTCTCTCTTGACATGTCTTGGAGTTCGGGTGGTGCCTTGCGGTGAAGGTGTGAAAGGGGACGAGGGACGAGACGAGTGGCAAAGTGTATATTAACCAGACACACGCTCGTCAATGTAACTTTTGGACAGAACCAGATATCCGAAGAATTCGGCACCAACGATGGTTGCATTCAGTATCCAGCCGCACATCACACGCATCACATAGTCCGAAGAAATCGGATTCGGAAAGAGAACGAAAAAGAATTTGCATTGATGATCGGATTCTTTCGGTTCGACACAAGACGCCATAGTAGACGGTTGAGTATAGGTTATATGGAACATTGTATGATACGGATCTGCGAGCCTATGAATAAAAGCCGCAAATGCGAGGACCTTGAGGGTGAAGTACACTGGAAAAGGCACTCAGTCAGCCAGGGGAAGCCGGGCGAGAACGGAGTGCGGGAGGACTGCGCCCCCTAGACAATGAACATCCCCGGCCCCACCGGTCCCGGGGTCAACCAACCGCCGCACCGGGGCCTTTGAGAAGAAAGCGGAGATGCGGTTCTGTCATCTGCTCGCGTAACTAGTAAGCAGAAGCGTGTGCTCACGACGGACCACTGACTGCCGGAACATCGCTTACTTGGGAACATAAATTACCGATGATTGCTGGTGTGTCTGTGCCGTGTTTCCACTGCAGCGGGCGCAAGATGGGAAGTTTGGGGGCTGATCTTAAGTTTCTTGCTTCAGATGTTATAGGGGCCGCCCACATACTATGACACTGATGTGCACGGCGGTAAACGGGGGCCCTTTTGGGGAATTACGTGCTGATGGAGATTTTCTGCAAGTTTGTCTCTTGCCTCTGCCTGTGCGAGTCTGTGTGGAGAGTGTGTCGCTTCTGGGGGCCGTTTCGAGGAAAGATGGGATGATGCGCTATTCTTGTCGATCAGTCGCTTCGAGAATGTTGAGGAATCTGGGACGGCATGATATTGGGCTTTGTGATCTGCTGCACCGAGTGCTTATCTTGCTGATCGGTCATTAGTGGGTGATCATGGTCCTTCTGCTCAGTATCGCTGCCGGTAAATCCTCCATTGCAGTTACATCTGCGCTTGATCGACGTGATGTTGGATGAGGTATTCCACCCTCTCGAGAGGTATAGTAACCTGGTGACACCGTACCATGGAAATCTGTGAGAACTCTCACCTGGATGGTCATATTGGTAAATGGCTTGATTGAGAGGAAATTTGGCCGAGATGAATAATTTAACTTCTTAACTTTCATTTAGGTGAGATGTCGAGATGCAGCTATGAAGGCTCTCTATATAAAGTATTAATAGCAGTGAGAGTCAAGATGAAGTGCGCAGCAGTTATAGCAGGTGTGGCAGTACCACCCCGTGGGTAACATGTGAATCAGACACTTCGAACGCGAGACTGCGTATCCTATACGCATAGTTGTGATCCGGGTCAAGGTTCTCGATAGAGATTATCTGCCCACAATACAGGTTGTTTGAAGTTCAACAGATCGCGAGGGGGAGCGTGGATGCCGCGGGGAGGCAAAGACCCCAGAAGACGAAGGAACCCCTCGATGAACCGCCCCCAACAATACGCATGAAGTTATTGATGAGTACCAGCGCGTTCCTGGAGTCTAAAGTTTCCTTACAAGGCCAGAAGTGTCGCCGATGAGCCTTAGTAAGTCATTCAGGGGTTTGCCTGGATACCTCTGGAAGGACCGTGATATTATGACACCAATTAATGTCCCGTATTCGGTTGGACACATTCTGCAGCATTTCTCTACAGCGAAGATTCAGCTTTGACACACAGAGCATTATGACTGACAGAAAAATACTAGATAATCACACAAAAATTTCAACTGTATACTAGCAACAGAAGGTTACTGCTGTAAAGACAAATAAAAACTTCCTCCAATCCATCACTTCGATCTCTCAAATCCGCACCCGGATGAACATGCTAGGCCTAAGATGACGAGCATACACAGACCGGGTCGTTAGAAGCCACGCTGCCAATGTAGACCACCTCCACAGCCGCAAAGGCAGCCGTTGCCGCGAAGATCTCAGCCTTCTTTGCCCCAGTAAGTAGTGCAAACAGGACTGAGAAAATCATGGTAAGGACAATGACAAGTCCTATTCTATGCAACATGTCCTGTACGAAGTACAAGGCCAGGATTGCAAGAGTTGGCAGTGCAGCGGACAGAGTTGCAAGAATGATGTCACTAAAGCGTGAGATCTTTTCCTCGTTGTAAGCACGCGTATCGTCCGGCCTAAGTTTTTCACTGGACTTCCCGGTATGGATGTTAGTTTGGATGCTTCGGAGACTACACGACGGGAAGGTTTGTGTAAAATGGATGCTAACCGTGCTGTGTTGTCCGATCACTCTGTGATACAGGTTGACAACTTTGCCGTTCATGAATTTAGTGAACCTGTCCGTCCCGACTGCTGGCCCCCCAATATTGAAGGTATCGTCTTGATTGGCCCGATTCCAAGTCATTGCTTCTATGCCTGTCATGTCAAGAAACCCATTTCCCCCTTTCGGCTTGCGCAGCCATGTTGCAAGAAACTCCCACTCGTCGTCAGATGGCCGAGGCAACTTTTGTAAAGAAGAAGCATGCTAAACTGCCTGATCTGGACTCGGGCTTAAGATGATATCATGCAAGGGAATGAAGAAGTCTTACGGTATTCGTCTAGCCTCTTCCCAATTTCGAGCAGAAGCTCGTACTGAATTGAGTCTGGATCTTCTGCGTATTGCTTCATCACCCGGAAACTGGATCCATATTCCCGCCGTATGGGATTTGTAGAGTTTCTGTCTTCATCTCTTGTATCTTCGAGCTGTTGTTCAAGATCTTGGAGTTCAGACTGAAGACGAAGGAGATTCATCATGGTGAGATGGTTGAATTTTCGAAATATTGCCACTTCGGGTGATCTGGCGAAGAGGCCGGCTAGATTGCTGTATCCTCTCTCAGGGAGACTTTCTGGCCTTTGAAAGGTGCTCCCGGCCGGAGAGGCCTCGATTTGGTTCGAATCCATTTGCAACGAACGTGCTACATGCGCGATGCAATCGATCTCAGGCTCGTGAGACTTGGCAATAAATTTGATGGAACGGTCGCTGATTTGACACGATCAAGGATATGATGAATAACTATCAATTCAGTTGAGCGAGCTTCTCAAAACCCCGCAGTTCAGCCGTGTCCAAGTGGAATCAGGCTGCTTCTGACTGCATATCACGAACTATTACGGGCGTAAGTGCTAATATCACTGTCACGTCATGCGGCATAGCCCCAACAAATGGATGGTCATGTGAGTTGTCAGCATGAGCGATCTTATGCGATGATTTTAAGCCGATTTAAATCCCAGCCTGATTCTGTTCCAAGCAAAGCCATTCTCATCGTGAGCGCAAATTGCAAGATCTCCTTGTGTCATTCTTTTACCTCTCAATATGGCAGAACCCTTGGGTATGGCCGCGTCGGTCTATGGCATTATATTGTCTCTTTCTAAAGCTCAGAATACTTTGCGAACAGCATTAAGCCGCTCTTCCGAGAACGTGAGCGCCCAGAAGAGTCTACGGCGATTGGCTGCCTCGATGACGATGCTCAGGGTCATGTATCTAGACCTTGATCCGGACGATCTCTCTTATCGCATAGGGGATGAGCCAGCCACTCATATATTCAGACTGATTAGCGACATTCGCCTGGCCGAACTAGACAAAAGTCTTACTTATCCAAGTGACAACAAACTATGGAAAAGGTATTCCAATCACGTGGAAGAATTGACTGAAACGCTCGAAACGGCAATGCAGCGACTCAGGGACATTGAACAAACGTTGGTTGAAACTCCGGCTGAGGAAATTTAAGAAGTGACTGACCGTTATAGCTCCATGTTGCGGCGTATTGAGAGAATTGTTGTCAGATCTGAACAACTCCATCTGGAACGGGATGCGGAGTGCAACAAAACACAACAAGCGGTGGCAGAGATCGGCCAAGCTCTATCGCTATTCAAGTTACATGTGGTAACGGATGGGAGACCATCGGAAAATTCTATACAGCAGGCGTTGGCCGAAATCGGCGAAAAATTGTCGAAAATCAGCAGCTCATTATTTGTGGACGGAGATACTTCAGATCGAACGATTGAAGAGCTTCGCACGGCACTACAATCAGCCATAGGCAGATTCCAAGGGTGTGACCGGAACCGAGTCGTTTTCCCATTCGTCATACCAAAGCAAGGGGCCGAGGATGTCATAGCCAGAGTCATACTCGACACCGGCGTCCAGGACAATTGGATCAATACGAGAATACTAGAAAGAGCGAACGTGACATATGATGAGGTTGAAGGGGCGGGAAATTACGTTGGGGCAGGAGGATCGCACTTCACACCTCTTGGCCAGGCCCAACTGACATGGTATTCTAAGAATCAAGCACTCAGCAAAGTCTCGTGCTTTCTGGTACACAGCGATCTTCCATGTGATGTTATCCTTGGCAGCAAGTACATTTTGGCAAGTATGGATGACGTTCTGGAGCCGGTCCTACCTATAAGGAACACCCACTTGACCAAAGGTGAGTCTTCTTCCGCACCATAATGGCCTAACTTATAACTGAAAACATCTGATAGAGGATTATGTTAATCTTCAGCGGGCTGGAAGGGAGAATGGTGTCAAGAATGAAAGAATCATTGCCCTCCAGAGAGAGCAAAACAAAGCTGAAAGGGAAAAGAGAAGAGCCCAAAAAGCTGAATATCAAATGTCAACAGCAAGGCCTTCGGCACCGTACACGGAGGCAGCAAGCACTCATTCTTGGACCCCCGATGCCTTGTCCAGACGCCAAAGCACGCTGTCTTCGAGGCAGTTTTCGCCCCTGAACGGTAGTCACTCGAGAAGGCCACAATCTGTTCCTTCCACGATGACGTTCCAATCATCTACAGCTCAGGAATATGCAGTGGATTCTTCATTGGACGGTCTTTCTCCGACGGTATCTTCAAACACCGCTATACCTGAAGTAGCAGGGGCACGTGAACAAAATGGGTGAATCGAGAGTCTGGGAATTTCGTTAAACCTATCTTCCACCTCAAGAAGGCGTAATGATACGTTTCATTTTTTTTTTCTGTGCAGTATTCTCGTGATCGAGACCTTTCCGAAGTGAGCGGCCTGCCTCGCACCTCTGTACAAGACAGATCAGTTGCTGAGCAAGACCGGACGGAAAAGGCGGAGGAAATGAGAGACCCCGTTGCCAGGTTGTATTCTCTACTCGCCCGTCTCCCGATTGTTTCGCTCAGAGCAATGTCTCTACATTTGAAGTTGGGCAAACATGAAGGCATGATGGCAATCGGGCCTTTCGAGGTCCAAACGTTGATAACTTTTACTCAACCACGGAACTAGGACTTGTCCAAGAGGTGCGAGAGTGATCTGCATTATCCGTATCAGGCCATAATACCAAGCATAGACTCTCAAAGTTATCTTTGCTATACGAAGAGATCGTGAGATCATAAATTCCCTGCTCATACAATTGCTGAGCGCGCCCTGCGTCGACCTGATATCGGCCCGTCGCATTGACTACAAGCAATGCCGGAATGGGAATTCTTGGAGAATTCCTTGGCGAAAGGTTGACGCTCAGAGTAGACATGTCAACTTCATGTTGCATTCTACTACAGAGAATGCCATGGGCAGCTGTAGAGAGAATGATTGTCGTCCGAGCTATGCGCTAGAGTGGCCGTGTACCGTGTTTACCTACAACCGTGTGCTTATCAGCAAAGTTTGGACCGACGGTTGCCAGGACGCCATCGGATGGTTTAGCGCCGTGTTGACGGCATACGAAGAATTGGCAAATATAGGTTCGGTATGCTGAGGTTGTTTCTCGTCAATATTTGCAAGGAGCTGAAGTTGAGGCAAGAATACGGTAGCATAGAATTAAGCTCAGAGGGTATGATGAGAGTATACTTTTAGACCAAAAGAACAGGCTAACAGCCATACCGAGGCAATCTGCAAGCGTCAGCGACTCTTCGAATCATTCTTTGTGCGGGGGGACGAGTAAGTTGGCAACCACAGTACGCTTGGCGCCATGTTGTGGCGCTTTGAAGAAGCTAAGGTGGCATCCGGCGGGCTTCCATTGAAGACCCTAAACAAAGCCAGCCTACATTATGGACTGGGATAGACTTCAACGGTGTCTTGGGTGGGATGTATGATGGCTAAGAACGTTCGGACAATTTCACTCGAGCGTTCGACTTTGGGACGGATTACACGGGAGGAACTTGGGTCTTGCGCTAGACACCCTGCGATTCCTATTGCAGTAATCCTAGCAGCACTACCGAACTCTAAGATCAGCAAGACATACAATAGCACCGAGAATTGGGCATTTCCATTCGTTCCCCCACCTGAGAGATCGACAAAGAATCCCCCAGAGCTAGCTGATCGTCAAGTTCTCCAGCTCCCCCCAGAGAGCTTGCTCACAACACCTTGCCTAAATCCGCTCAACACATCATTAGGTGCAGTGTCACGGATCCGCTCTAGGGCCTTCAATGCCGGTAGCTTCGGACACGTTGTGGCGCGCACACTTTTCACACTTTGTTCTAGTTCTTACCTCATTTGAGTCCGATGTAGCTTGAGATATAAGTAGCTCCGGATCCTGATCCGAAATTGAGATCTTGAACTCTCCAAGTCATCAGCTTCCAAAAACAACCCAATTCATTCTCTCCCAAATCTTCAGTCTTTTCTTTCCTACTTAATCATTAGCAGTACATTTCTAATTTCACAATCCTTCACATAATAACTACAACAATGCGCTCACAGATTCAGCAACTCGTCCTGGCCGCAGCTCTGCTGCAGTCCGCTGATGCCGCCCCGGCCGGCCTTCTCGACGGTCTCGGAGTCGTAACCCAGCTACTGGCACTTCCGACCGACTATGTGTCCAGCTTGACCGGGGTTCTTGGCACGAAGCCCGGGAGCAGCGTCGGCGCCGGAGCGCTCAACGTCGGAGATCTCCAAACGAAGCTCGGATCGATCTGGAACACGGGAAGCACTGGTGACTTTTACGGAAAGCTGCAAAAGCAAATCGGCCAAGGTCTCGTCCCGAACAACCTCCTCTCTAGCTTCCAGGGACTTCTCGGCACTGGCCTTCTGGGTAGCTTGGACCTGGCCAACAATGCCAACAAGCTGATTGCTCCTCTCAACGGAATCGATTCGACGAGCAACAACAACCCGGTCAACCCGGCCAAGTCTGTCTACCCCAAGAAAGATGCCTCGGATGCGCCATACACCCTCTCCGAGCAGCAGCTTCGCCAGGCCATCTACATCCCCCAGACTTTCACCTACGGCCAGAAGCCTCCTGTTATTTTCATTCCCGGCACTGGTGTCTACGGAGGAGAGACCTTTAGCCCCAACTTGTTGAAGCTTCTCACGAACGTCCCTTACGCAGATCCCGTCTGGCTCAATATTCCGGGCGCTCTTCTTGGCGACGCCCAGGTCAACTCTGAGTACGTCGCCTATGCCATTAACTACATCAATGGCATCAGCAACAAGAACTCGAGCATCATTTCTTGGTCTCAGGGTGGTCTAGACACCCAGTGGGCTTTCACCTTCTGGCCTTCTACCCGCAACGCTGTCGCCAACTTCTTCCCCGTATCTCCCGACTTCCACGGAACCGTTCTTGCCAACGTCCTCTGCCTTTCACCTGGCAACGGAGCCCTCAACGCTCCCTGCGATCCTTCTGTCATTCAACAACAATATACCTCCGTCTTCATTAACACCCTTCGTTCCCGTGGAGGAGCCGACGCCTACGTTCCCACGACAACTTTCTACAGTGCTATTCTCGACGAGGTTGTCGAGCCCCAGCAAGGCACCGCTGCTTCCGCCTACCTGACTGATGCCCGCCGTGTCGGTGTCACCAATATCGAGGTCCAGTCTGTCTGCCCTGGTCGCCCCGCTGGCAGCATCTACGGCCACGCGACGATGCTCTTTAATCCCTTGACAGCCGCACTGATCAAGGATGTTCTTCAGAGAGGCTCAGGACCCGCCAAGATTAGCAACATCAACCTCAACGACGTTTGCAAGGACTTCATCGCCCCTGGCCTGAACCTCGAGGATGGCATTGCTACTGCTGGTTCGATTGTTGCTGCTGGCATTCGCTTGTTGGCTTACCTCCCGAAGCTCATTGCCGAGCCCACCCTCATGGCTTACGCACGGTCTTGAGCACTCTCTTGTGTAAACAAGATGTATCTTCTAGAGAAGCTATACTTCTTATGAGAATGAGGACGAGGTTAATGTGGGTGCTTGGGACGAAGTAATGAAGATGAGGGTGAGAATAAAGTGAATGTAAATCTTCTCTGTAACACTGTAATTAGATGTACAATTGGGTATAAATAGACGTAATTAAAACAGTTGAACATCAACCGCGGTTTCAACGTTGGGGCGCTCATTCCACACGTGCATTAACGCCATTTAAATGAAGAAATTTGTGAAATCCATGGCTCGTTGAGTCTTGATTGGTTTGTGAAGGTATGAGTATGGTTTGCAAAAGATTGATTCTGGATACCAGAAAATTCCAGAAGGCAAAATCACATTTTCGCATCTCTCCCAATACCCGTCTGCCCCACAGCAAATTCCTTTCTCTCATCCACTGACAACCTCGTCTCGGCTAGTTCACCAGTTTGTGGCTGTTCCTCTACAGCTGCAAGTCTGTCGGTCTCTTCGACTGGGACGTGGTCTCTGACCACCAGCCACGTAGGATAAACGGCCAAACCTACATCGATTAGCATCATCTTCAACTTCATCATGGACTCTGCTTGGCTTACCCAGGAGTATAGTGTTGACAGCAAGTGGTACTCGACCTCCCTTCCACTTCTGTGTGTTCAAGCCAAACGAGACAGCCTGGGAAAAGCTCTCCTGGCCTCTAAGAATACCCGAGAAACGAGTGAGCTCCGAGATGTTGTCCGTCTTGGTAGCGAGAAGGTAGTAAAGCCAGCTCTGCAGTGCTTGACGGGCGAAATCCCACAACAAGAGCACAAAGAAACCCTCAGTGAATCCCTTATCTTCCCAATCGTACGCAGGCGGGTTGCGGGTGTACTTCTCTTGAATGACCCAGCCGTAAACCCACGCAATGACGTGCCATACAATGACGTAGTAGAAGCCAATAGTGATGCGCTTCTTTACACTGAATTTCTTGTAGTCGAGGAGAGTGCTAATCAGCTGCGATGAGAGAAGCGTGCCGAAGTTGCTGACGAAACCGATGAGTGCGCGAGCTCGGATGCCGAAATAGTAGGCTTGAAAGTTTCCGCTGTACTGGTTGAAGTAGGCAGCCCAAAAGATGGGGAGAAGCAGCAGGATGTCCTTGCGCTTCGACACGCGGAGCAGCTCTCTGAACTCGGCCTTGAACGACTTCTCGGCTTTGATAATAACTTTGCTACCGTCGGATCTTTGGACCTTCTCCGGGGGAGATAGAGCGAGTGCAAGGGGCACGCTGAGACATTGTAGAGCAATGAAAACCAGGTAGGTCTGATATCCAACCTTGCCCTTCTTCTTCGCAGCCGCATCGTTGTTGAGGGCCAGAACGATGGCTCCACCGACAAGAGGACCACCGGTTCTGAACCAGAGCCAGATGTTCATGTACTTGCCACGCTTAGACGGCTCTGGGTATCCAAGAGCAACAGCGCCCTCGGAGGCCCAGAACAAGCCGGCAGAAATACCGCAGGCGGCAGCTCCAACAAGAACGAGCCAGACGTTGCCGTAACGGTTGTTGGTGTACAGTCCAGCGGAGTAAAGTGGGTAGCCAACAGCTCCAAGCAACAGCGTTCTTGAGAGCCCAATGCGGTTCGCGATGGGCCCACCGAATAAGCACAGGAAGGCCATGAGTCCGAAGACAAGCGCATTGGCGGCATTGACGAGGAACGGTTCCTGGGCACCACCTGCGCCGAGGGCGTTCATCGCATTCCACAGGCCAGGGGCCATGAAGCCTGGGTGATGTTAGTAATTGCTACTCTGACAGTGCACATGGCTTCATACCAACTCCTCCGATCACGAAGGCATTGAACAAGGTGCTGTGGTACCACACCCGCTTCACCGGTGGGTCAGAGGCCGCATCGTGGACGTCCGACGACACGGACTTGGGTGATTCTTCGGCCATCTTCACGGGTTCTTGGACTCGAGGTTGACGAACTTCATTCACACACGTTGCTGAGAACCATCGTTGACTTATATGATAGCTCGTAGCCTCGGCTACCATCGCCACTTTGACGATATTCTAGCCATCTCATGTTCAAAAGTCCCTCCAATTTGTTTTTTCCATAGGATGAACTCCTCATTCTCTACATGAATGACGAATATGCTAGTGCAACGTTGAACCCACCGTTCAAATGACAATCGTGCAGCTCATTCGGCAGTTGATCATCGAGGTCCACTAAACTCCGCGTGGGTTCCTACCCCTCGGTCGAACTCCGTCGGAAAATTGACCGCAATAGGTAGGTCTATCGCGAATTGGGCTGGGAATAACACGCAAAATCGCCTACAGATCTCGCGTAGGAACTGGCGTCTTGGCAATGAGAAAAGATGGGAAAGCCTCTGGTTAGAAAGTTGCGCTTATGAACGGAACAAAGCTTGTCAATGCAAAGGAAATTCCCTCTGTTATTTTAGCACAAGAGTCTAATGATCCCAATCCACTCGAAGCCGGATCAACATGGTCCTGTATGCCCCTACGGGCAATGTGTACTGAGCTTACAACTTGGACTGGATTTTCTTTGCCTCCTCTTCCTTCCTCTTCAACTCCTTCCACCACTTTTGCTTCAGTGCCAAAACGCCGAAGCCTAGCAACGCCCATTCATCTTCCCACGCAGGCAACTCATAAGCATCCGTGCCCGGTGCAGGAGGTCCGGCAACACCTCGCAAAAACTCGAAATATTCTGAAAAGTCGGGCTTGATTTCGTGGAACTGGGACGTCGGCCCCTTGTACTGCAGTCGCTTCACTTCCCACTCGTCCTGCTCTCGTGGAGAAGGCAGACCGCCTCCCCGGTTCGCGAAATAGCGAGCCACGGCAACGGCCTGGTACTCGTAGACACGGAACGAGATGGCCGCCTTGACTTGTCCAACGACTGTGAGTGACGGATCCGCGATGTTAAAGACGTGTTGGTAAAATCCTGAGAGGCGCCCACTTGGCGTCACGGGATCGGGACGCAGGAAAGGGTAGGAAAGTCGATAGCCGGTGCCGAAGTGAACTTTCTCGATACCGTCGACTTCACTGCCGTCCGAGAATTTGACTTTGACGGTGTTTTCAGATCCAACGGACACTCGTGTGATTTGCGGCTTGAGAACGACGTTGGGTAGTTCCCATGCATCCTGAAGAATTTCATTAGAGCCTCGCTGCGAGACATAAAGGGGCCCAGACACGATGCTGTGAATCTCTGAGACTGTGTCAGATGCAGAAACGTTGCCGCCGACGACAACGACTTTCTAAACCCTCGCGTTAGTCATGTTCATTCATCTCATTGACGGATAAGGATAGAAGTAAGTAAGTACCTTGCCAACGTAGTCCTCAGGAGACCTGTAAGCCTTCGAGTGCTCAAACCTTTGAGGCAAAGCAGCAAAAGTCTCTTTAAGACCGTCAATATTCGGAACGAATGGTACACCGTAGTGCCCGGTGGCCACAACAACAGCATCGAATGTGTCTTGCCACCAGTAATCTCTCTTCTGGTTCTTCAGATAATGTTGAGTTTTTCTAAGAGTCAATTGCCATTTCTTGCCTAATTTCTCTACACGCTCCACATGCGTATTGAAAGTGAACAAGTGCGAAAACGGCTCTGCAATCTCCTCGAGGTAGCCAGCGACTTGCGCGTAGGGATGCGTCGGGTTCCTCTTGCCAAAGCGGTTGATGGAAGAGGCCGAGTTCACATCCGGAAACGGCTTGTAGGTGAACGCCATCACTTGGGAGCCGACATTGCTGTCCAAGGCGGGATAGAGACCTGTCCGAGCTGTGACATTTTCAGATGCTGGTGGCAGTGACTGTGGTAGCTTGGCTGGAATCTCTCGCACAGGTTGCGCCGAAGATGGCGAAAATGGTTCTGGCTGCTCATCGTAGATCCTGGAGGCATATGTCAAATCGAGTTCAAGTATTTTATGATGTAGATTGCATACCATGTGCCACCGATGCCTTCTCTTCTGTCGAACAATTGGATTCTTTCGAAGACATTCTCTTCACTTAAGGCTTTCACAGCGGAGATGCCAGAAGGCCCAGCACCGATTACTGCGATACTGGAATATCTGGGGGCCATGGTTTGAAGTCGAATACGAGGATGCCGTTTATTGAAAATCAAAAAAGAAAAAAGCTTGGTGAATCTGTTCCGACAGTTTACGCCAAGTGAAGAACATATAGCCTCGAAAGCTCTGACGAATTGGTGTTGCATATGACGTGCTTGCACAACACTAAGAACTAGATGGAGATAGTGAAAGTTCCACCGAGGGCTTATCGCCATTATTTGCTGTGGGCGCTCGACTTGCATATTTCGTTGGGGCACTGATTAATACGATATGCTCCTCATCCAGTTATAACTTTACGTTAAGATCTGGGCTGAGAGTCGAGAGACCTTGAAGGCGGTATGGAGGCTTTCAGCTTTCATGTCAATTGGTTAATTAACAGACAGGAAGAATCTCATAGAACAGGTATCGCAGCTGATATTCAATGTTATTTGTCCTTAGATTGTAATTTGTGTGACGTTATTGATGGATGCTTGCCAGAGCCACTTCGCGCAATCCTTCCCTGCTATGTCGCGACAAACGCAGCAGACAATAACAGCATTAGAGGGGCAAGTCCTATCTGTATCATGCATTCGGAAGCATTCATAGGCGACTTTCTATCAAGTACTACAGCCAAGCCTTTCTACTCGATTCCTCGGACATTTTCTCATCAGGATCGCATATCAAGTCTGCATTCATCAACCTCCGATCATATTAGACATACACTTGTTGATTCACCAAGCACATGGAGTTCCTCGAAACATATTCTCTTCGCTTTCCTCGGAATATGCGAAATGAGAGAACTGTTCAGTCAAACGTCTCACAAGTAACGTCTACGACTTGCAATTCATTGAGCGTTCAGAGTTGAGTGTAACCAGATGTTCAAGGAAGACCAGACGTGCGATTGGCAGGTGGGAGAGTCAATTGATTTCCGCATTTGTTCGCAAAGTAAGCGAGTTCAACTTCCGCTTCCAATTATACTCAGCTATCCTGTCATTAGGATCTGCGGGAAAACAAAGGCTATCAAAAACGCATCTCCACTTGCGTTTGTCAAACCGACGGAAAGTTGTCACTTATCGGCTCGTCCAGCTCAAGTCAGCTAAAGGTCTTAGAAAGCCAGAGCTACTAAAAAGTCTGAAAAAATCTGTATCATGCCAAATCACACGGAAGATTGCATCTCGGCAATTGGATGACATCCTGCGGAAGGCGCGCTGGACTTGGGCTTCCGAGATGTGTTTCCTGATCATTGCGCGATCACATGCTTTCGTCTTCTGATACATCAATATTGAACTAGAAAGCTCATGATACTATAATCATTACCGTGAATTCTGTGTTGTGAATCACTATTAACAGACACATACTGGCCTGTAGTAAACCCTTGAGACTAAAGTCCATACATGTATTGAGTCCCCAAGCAGAATCCTGAACCTAACTCCGGATGACACCTCAACTTCTATAGCGATGCTCGTCACATATCTGGAGTTCATGATAAATTTTAAGTCTATTTCGATAATTTCCCGCTCAGTCTCTATCGAGCGTTGACACCAGCGACCTTTGACAACTTGTTGGTGAAGTCAAGAATCCAAAGGGCTCTCAACATAAATTATCAAGGCATGGCGGATGGCAAGACTTAGGCTGTCGATACAAAGAGTCTGGTTTCTAATTCTTCATTCCCCAAACCAAAACCAGTCCATCAAGAGATATCACGAAGCGCTCGACTGTTCGAGAAGACATGCAGTGATCCAAATCGAAAGGGCGGCCGCGGTGGGCCCAGCATCGGCAGCTTTCGGAAAGGCAATGCTCCACCAACACGTGGCAGCCCGAACTGATGTGCCCCGCTCCAGCTCCCGCTACCGGCGTCGACCCGGGCCTGCGGTATGCGGGGCAAACAGCTGGTTCGATTCCTCAACGGCTCAAAGGTCGACGGACTCTGGGGATAGCGCTGGGTGATCTTCAGCCCGGCTTATTTACTGAGCCTTCCTTTGGTCCTTACTGCGTAACTGGAGTCTTTCCTGTGAAGCTGTGTCAGGTTGAGATGGCATTAGGGCTCCGCGACACCCTCCCGTCTGGGCAACTGAAAGATCTCAAGCAGCGGATCATTGATGGTTCTGTTGTGTAAGTGTGTTCCGATGTAAATGAATTGAATAGAGAAACATTACTCATCACCTGGCCAGATTATCAAAGTCAAACGCGACCAACGTGACTTATCGTAACCACTTTTTGTACTTATTAGTAGTGAGATTGCTTTCAGTGGCCTCTGCGGGCGAATTTTCGTCGCAGTTGGCTCGTTCACACCTAGGAAGACTTTCACATGCGTCATTCGTCCCCTGCAGACGCATGTTTCCTGCCCCGACGAACCCCATCGAATCCTCAAAGATGTTCCCGGCTAAACTAAACAAAGAAGCCAGAGGACTAGGGGTATAAGCTCGAGGTCACATTCTCACTCCATGTTTCTGTCTAGCGGATAGGGCCCATGGAGGCAAGCTGCAGGACTGCGTTGTGCGAGAGAAGGGCGTTGGACGCCGCAAGCCAGTCGGAGAGGCCCGTTGGTTTTGGGCCCTCGGTCTCCCGGCTCCACCCCGGGAAGTTCTCTAGTTTTCATTAGGCAGTTCTGACGGCAAAGACGGGCTCCATAAAAGTCAGGCCACCTCGACCCCATCCGCCTTGAATCATTCCCTCCTTTCTCGGGGCTTCCAGCCGTCACTTGACATGCTTTCGTTTGCGATTTTGCGGTACCTAGACATGGTTGCCGAGCATTCGGATACGCTTGATACGCCTGGCCAGCCATCGCTTTGCAGTTCTTCTTCCCCTCTTGGTGCTGGCTGTTGACGCTATCCGAGGTCATGTTTAAGGCTCAGGCCAGTGACGAGAACCAGCAAGAAAGTTACAGTTACAACTAACTTACATGAACGCCCCCACGTAAGGTACTCGGCAGGCGGATGTACCATAATATGTGTTGCTCGTGCTACTCGGCGTGATCCTTTCACAAGCCCTGTGCCTCCCTCCATGTCGTGGGAGCCAACCAACCCGTCCAAGTCCGAGCGTGCTCGTCGGAGGTCCCACCTTGCCGCCGGGCCGCTGTCGGTGAGGTAATCACCTGGGGAGGTTCCCATTGTCCCAAAAGGGTCTTTCGGGTATCATCCCCGGGTTGCCTCTTGAATAATAATTTCTGCCCGTTTTCTTACCGGCAATCGTCGAACTTCCTCTTCTACACCACACTTTTTCTTTTTGTCCTTAATCGTTTTTCTTCCTCAATAGACCAAGTCCCTCTCTCTTTGCCTTTTCTTTTTACGACAGATCGACCACGTATAGATCCAGGCCATTATATCTGCAGAATCATAAAACCAAGTAAGCCGTGATCATCCTACCTAATTCTCGCTCGGGCCAAGATACCCCGCGAGGTCGCAGTCGCATTCGCTGACCAGGCTCGCGTGACTCCAGATTCCGAGCAAACCGAACACTTCGCAACAAAGAAGTGTGAGTCAACAACACTCAATTCGCACGTAAACACCAACAAACAAACCGCAACAATGGTCCTCATCACGCGAGCCATCTCTCTCACCAACTTCCTCGTCGCTTCGTCGGCCCTCGGCTTCCAGGTCTTCGTCCTGTACCCATGGCACGAGCAACTGTCCCACGACTTCGAGGAGCTTAAGAAGGAACACATCCGCGTTCTTGACTACGTCAAGGGTGTCGACGCCGGTCTCAGAAAGGGACAAGGCGGCGCTCCCGCTGGTCAATCTATTCTGGAGAGACTGGGCTACAAATGAGCGGGGTCAACCGCCCTCGCCCTCTTTCGGTAGCCCTCGGACTTTCCCTTCTTTTTCTTTTTGGGGTTCAATAAGGGTCGGTCGGTCTGTCTATCTGTCCAAATTGTCTTTCATTTCCACGATTGCATGCGATACTCCCTGAGAGCGAATTTAAAAAGAACTTATTCCCCCAATTCGCAGCAGCCTTATTTTGTGATAATTCCACAACATTTCGAACCGTATAGTGAGTCGTCAATCTCTGAGATCTCACATTGGATCGGCAACAACCTCAACGAGATGTTTCGATTGGCGCGACATTCTCTCAGGAGTGAGTTGACGTGATTGAAATGATGCCCCAAAATCACAGTCAAGCGATCATAGAACTGGAGAAATCTTAGTACACCTCATTAAATGAGATCGCCTGCCGCAACAGAACTCACTCAAACCATCGATCGGACACCACGAAGCCTCACGAGGGGCGAGACCCGCTTCACCGCCGGCAGATACAGCAGCTCCGGAGCCCGCTCCGGAACCACGCCAGCGAATCGACGCGACGATAAGCGATTCAAGGACTTGATGCATCTCAGGTGCCTCACTCAAACACCTTGCGCGATGGTCTTGGATCAACTTCAGGCTTAAGTCGCCCGGATTTGGCTCATCCAGAGCGCATCCAGAGTGGTGAAGAGGGAGCACGCAGCACCTGGTTCTGTCTCACCCACCTCGAGGTCTGGTGAGCGTGGCTCTCATCTCATACATATGTCCAGGAAGCTCTAGCTTGATTCCATGAGGCGGGAGTCGCACTGACCAACAGTACAGCCATTCTCCATTGCGATGCGTTCACGAGGCTTATGAAAGCACTTGGTGTCTCATTTGATCTCATTCAGCCAGACGAAGCCATATTGCTCACGCAATTCAGTAAGTCTCAGCTACCTATGCTAGGGTATCGCGAATTCCAGAGTGAAGCATCAGTTTTCATGGGCCTTCCTCCCGTCCTTGCCCTTCCATATCAGTATTGTAACGCCCGAAGTTTCTGCTTCTTCGATCCAGCCCAATTTCATCACGCAACTTGTAACTCCTGAACTGGCGAATCATTTCGAACGTGTCACTCAAAGAAAACGCCATCGTGGCAATGCTATGCTGCTCGACTAGGCGTAGCTCTCGGCCTCGGCGGGCCAGGTAGCGACCCACGCGACGCCGAAGATGAGAAGCCACATGATGAGCCAGGTAGCGTAACGGCCGCCGTTGCCAAAGCCGATAATGCTGCCGACGAGGATGGCGGCGTGAATGAAGGCGGTGACGAGCAGGAAGACATCGAAGTGCCAGCGACCCTGGGAAAAAACAAAAGCTCATTAGCTGTGGTCCTCTCATCTCACCTGACCCCACCTCATCTCAGACAAGTACTTACAACCATGACGCCCAAAACCTTGCGGCGACCCTCGGCCTGACCGATGACGGCAAGGGCCCAGGCGATGAACAAGAATCCTAAGATTCCGAGAATAATGTCGAGAATCAGACTGACGATCTGAGCGTGGGTAACGTCGTGGACGATGCCGATGATGGTGATGGCGGTCCGAATACCGAGAATAATGATCATGCAGATACGTCGAAGGAGCACGGCCTTGTCAGAGGTTTTCAGGTTGTACGACTCCCAGGAGAATGCCCAACAAGTACGCATGTTGGGGCACATGCGATTCTGGATGCTGCTCTGGCCGGCGGTAGTACCACCACCAGCGGCAGCGCCCTGCTGATCGCCGTAGGCCATGATCCCGCTGTTGGTGAGGCCGAGAAGGGGCTCAAGCTCGTCGTCCGAGTCGGAGGTGAGGTCGCCGGGCTCGAGGGTTGTGCGGTAGGTGATCTCGGGCCAACCACCAAAGTAGAGAAGAGCAGGATCGGTGCCGGGAGGCGGGGGGAAGATGAGCTGCGAAGGGTGAGGCATGGTGGGCGCTTCTTATATTCCTCTCCCCCACACAGACGGGTAACGGCCACAAGCGAGATGGGGAGAAAAGAATAATTGTCTTGGTGTTTGCGGATGGGGATCCCTGTGCTACGTGGCGCAGCGGAGGTTGTGCGAGGGTGGATGGTTTGGGGGTGGTGATGGGTGGAAGAAGGGGATCGTTGGTTTCATTGCAGGGGAGGCTTGCTCCCTAGGTAGCTTCGCCCAGGAAATCCATGGTGGGTTTGTTTATGATTTATTTTTCTTAATTGGGCGAGAGCTATCGCGGTCCTCTTCTTGAATAGGCGGGTGCAATGGCTCGAGAGTCCAGTTACTCTCGCCCTCGGGGGTTGTTGACGATAGCATCACGACTAAGCGATGTTGTGCGTTTCAAGCAGGAGTCGAGGGGTTGTCCAAGATGACTTGTGACTGCTCGAAGTGGGACTCGGCCAAATGGCAAATACTTCCTTCATTCAGACAAAGAAGTGAAGTTTACCGTATAGTTGCAGAGTAAAACGTTTCATGCCGGTTCACAGCAACTACAATCTTTACCAAAATCATCACAGACAAAGACTTCTCAGGTTTGTTCATTATCTTCGGGGTTTGGGCTTGTGGTTGGCTTTCCCGGTGTAAGCCACCAAGCTGCGTCCATTGGGACCACCACCACTGACAGCAGGGGACCATGTCTCTCCAACAGATTTTAAGCTTAAACCATCTATCAATAGACAAGCCACCGTGGATCACTTGTTGGCTCTGGGAATAGACACCTGTCTGACAGCTCAAAGTCGTGGAACAGACGAACCATGACTGCAATAGACATGACGCCCCCTCCATCTCGACCTTCGATGTTGAGAATTAGGGCCATAGACGCTTTGATTTCAGGGGATGGGACCCTCAACCTAGCGACTTCAGTCCTGTCCACTGTGGAGGTAGTAATTAATTAGGCAACGGCTTTCGGAAGCTCTGGCGTCTTGGCACACAATCCTCACGGCCAGGTAAGCTTTGTAATTGCCTACACCAGCCACATCCTGAATCCTTTGGAGAAGGCTTCCTAGAAATTGGACCCAGGTCTTATAGGAGGAGTGTGCTGCCTACCTTAAGTTTTCATAAGTCCTACAGTGGAACCTAGAAAGAAAAGAGAAAGAGTCACCCAAAGTTCCAGTCTAGGATTCCATCCTAGGCGACAGGAATTTGCAGCGCATTCAAGAAAGGTTTCTCATGTCCCTGTCACGGAGATGGACTCCGATTACTAGTATGAATCTGGTCCGATTGGACCTCGTCGCGGCAAGATACACCGAGCCATAGGGCTACGCCGGCCGGCTTAGAATGCCCGGGCACGTTAGGCAGCCGGGCGATCCCGGTTCTCATCCGCCGCCCCGCTTCCCGGAGCTCGGAGAGAGCGATCGCTGAATACTGAGTCCAATGAATGATGGCTTTTCTCTTTTGCTGGTCGGAACTTCTTCGAGTTCAACCTTGCTATACAGCAGGTAAGCAGTCTGGTCCATTGAAAAATAGAAGTTGGGGGCATTCCACAAAGACTCATAACTTAGGTGACTATTGACATCGGTGAGTTATCTCATGTTGAATCCATCATCTGGAAATCTCCCAGTTAGCAAGTAATTACTAGTCGCGGGGAGCCATTCACCGTCTGGACACAATAAGACGAATGTAGAATGATTGAGTAACGAAATTTATGAGATTAATCTTTGACAAAAAATCTAAAGACGATATGTTTGCAAAAT